TAGCTTCTTAGTGCTGTGACTTAACCCACTGCGCCACCAGGGAGGCCCTGATGTATGTATCAGTATATTTATTCTCTATGATTAAGACTAAAGGCAATACTCTACCAGACAGGTGCTACTAGACACTCCTCCAAATAGAAACAAGAAGGTTGGAATTTCTGGTATATATTACAACTTATTTTTGTGTTGTTTTAAATCATCCAGCTTGGTATAATACCTCCTTATAATAGGTATTCAGTGTTGCTTAAATTGCATTCCGTAATATTGAGATAAGATTTTAAAAACAAATGCCTCAAAATTCTGTATTTAGTAATACTAAATTACTTAACTCTCTGGGCCTAAGTAGTCCCATTTATTAGCACCACACTCTAACCAAGTAAGCTAACTCACTAGCCCAATACTCCCATTTACAAAATTATTGAATAACTACAATCTAAGTTTCTAGTGAGCCGAAAGGTTAAGGTTCACCTTGAGATTGGTCTGAAACATAATACAAGTAGTACCATCCAAGGGTGTCCTGGCATACAACTCATGAGACAAGAATTAAAATATTACTTACTTTTTTTTTTTTTTTTTTTTTTTGCTCTACACTAACCTTAGGTAATGAACTTTTAAATAAATCTTTCTGGCAGGAGAGAATTTTATTAATAAACTCTTTTGAAAGAACCAAAATTTTTAAAAATTGTGTTTCCTAAATATTTAGATTCTAGATAAACTACATGCATGTAGCATAGTTCTGCCCTTTGACGTGACACTTTTCTCAATAAAAATATCAGCAACAAATACCGGATGGTCTCACTCATAGCAAGAATCAAGAAAATTTAAATAAGGGACCAGGAAAAAGAGTAACTGTAAGAAAGAAAATATCAAAATCAACAAACAACTATGAACCAGAGACACTCTATGGGGGCTCAGGGGGGTGGGGAAAGGAGGGATTGGGGTCAAAATAAGGGGGTTGTAATTGTAAGGGGAATATAAAAATAAAATTTAAATTAAAAAAAGGAAAAAAAGAAAAGAAAAAAATAAAAATAGGTCAAAATTAAAAAAAAAAAATCAGAATCTAGTTGTTTTGATCAGGCATATATACGCTGATTTGATAGTGGTTTCACTTCTAACATTCTTGTCTCCTCTTTATTAGTCTCTCTCTAGTCTCATTATTACTCTCTAACTTTTTTCTGTTTCAGCTGTGCCAAGATGGCCACTTCACTACGCCAAAGGCCTCAAAAGATTGAAACCTAGCACAGAAATAAACACAGCCAGCATACCTCTGCAACTAGATAAACCAACTTATTTAATTTAGCTTAAACTCCTAAACTATCTAGTGGCGCCAATGACTAAGGTTCACCTTGAGATTGATCTAAAACATAAAACACCCATAACTCCGTGCGCTCGCCCCTCCCGTCCTCTTTCCGCCATTTTTCCGTGCCGCCATAATGGTGCGCATGAATGTCCTGGCTGATGCCCTCAAGAGCATCAACAATGCCGAAAAGAGAGGCAAACGCCAGGTTCTTATTAGACCGTGCTCCAAAGTTATCGTCCGGTTTCTAACTGTGATGATGAAGCATGGTTACATTGGCGAATTTGAAATCATTGATGATCACAGAGCTGGGAAAATTGTTGTGAACCTCACAGGCAGGTTAAACAAGTGTGGAGTGATCAGCCCCAGATTTGATGTGCAACTCAAAGATCTAGAAAAATGGCAGAATAATTTGCTTCCATCTCGTCAGTTTGGTTTCATTGTACTGACAACCTCAGCTGGCATCATGGACCATGAAGAAGCAAGACGAAAACACACAGGAGGGAAAATCCTGGGATTCTTTTTCTAGGGGTGTAAAACATATGTGGAAATAAAATGCCTCAATGGACAAAAAAAAAAAAAAACATAAAACAAGAGATAACATCCAAGGATATCTTGATACAGCTGTTCCTTAAATTATATTCTTCACCATAAGTAAACTGAAAAATAGAACATTACCTTTCCTATGAAAATAGAGAACACACACAAATAGGCATTTTCTGAGCCACCTCAAAAAGAAAAATTTACCAAAATAGCCCAAATAGAGGCCTAGAGCAAATCCCAGTTGTAACATTTTTACTATTTTTAATCCTTTTCCTTTTAACTTCATTTTAAATCACTGCTATAATACAAATAGATTTTTGATTAGTCTTTTTATTATAAAAATGAAATACGCTATTTCAAAATATTCAGAAAACAGAACTGAATAAAGCAGAAAGTGAATGTTAACTATCATCTCATCACTGGAAACCCAGGCTGCGGGTAATAAAACCTAACAATTTTAGAACATAAATGAATACGTATATACTCAGAATTTTTTAAAAATATATATGGCAGTTAGTTTCTTTTTACTCGTCAAGTCTTTTGTCCCCAAACCCATCCTCAACCAAAGCTATGAGTTTGTGTGTGAGTGTGTGTGACACTAATTATTTTACCAACAAAGTATTCTCCTAGTACAAATTCTAGTGACAACTTTTTTTTTTTTTTTTTAAAGATTTATTTATTTATTTATTTATGCAAGCACTGGGTACAGACAGAAGCGCGGGAGGGTGAGAGAATTCACCAGAGCCAGAGCGGGGAGCAGAGCAGGCAGAAGGACTGAAGTACACTGCTGAGGGGAGCAGCGGGTGGCAGGAGAGGTCTGTTCACCATGTGGGACCCTCTTCTGGTGGCCGGGGAGCAGCCGGGGATCGAACAGGCATTGCAGAGGCTGTGGGCAGCCTCGCAACCCAGCGCTCAACCGCTACGCCACCGGAGAGGCCCTAGTGACAACTTATTTTTCACTTTATTTACTGAAGAGATAAGCTACTTCTAATTCTATTCAAATTTCATGTCTTTAGCTAAAGTAATCTTCTGTTTCAATTGCTCTGAATGTAAAGTTTACAATTAAGAGCAAATCTGCTTTTAAGTGTATCATTTTATCAATTAGAGTATTATAAAGAATTTTTCTGGGGCTTTCCTGGTGGCCCAAGGGGTTAAGCACCGCACTATGAAGCAATCCACAGCCTCTGCAGCACAAGTTCGATCCCCAGCCGGCCAGGGAGCAACTCATATGGCACCAGAGACCTCTTCTGTCTTGCCCACTGCTCCACTCAGCAGTGTATTTCAGTCATTCCTCCTGTTGTGTTCCCCACTCTGTCTCTGGTGAATCCTCTCACACTCCCCCCCTTGCACCTCTGGCCTGTACCCCAGTTCTTGCATGCATAAACAAATATTTTTAAAAAATAATTTTTCTTTGTAACAATTATTACATTTATGCCCAACTTTGTAAGGACAAGCTCTACACATGATCTCATGTATGAGCTGTAGGTTTTTCTGTGTATAAAGATGTATTATATATGAGCATTAAAAATAAAGGAAGGGGCCTCCCTGGCGGCGCAACGGTTAAGCGCTGGGTTGCGAAGCTGCCCGCAGCCTCTGCAGAGCCGGTTCAATCCCCGGCTGCTCCCCGGCCACCAGAGGAGGGCGCGCAGACCTCTCCTGCCGCCCGCTGCTCCCCTCAGCAGTGTACCTCGGTCCTTCTGCCTGCTCTGCTCCCCGCTCTGGCTCTGGTGAATTCTCTCACCCTCCCGCGCTTCTGACTGTACCCAGTGCTTGTATAAACAAAACAAACAAACAAAAAAACAAATAAATAAAAAACATGCTTCTATTAAAAAATAAATAAATAAAATAAAAAAAAAACAACCTTAACTAATTTAGAAGCAATTAAATGTTATTTCCTCTGACATAGAATCTAACTAAAAGTCAATAAAGTTATCTGAAAAACCTCCAAATACTAGAAATTGAGTAAAATTTCTCCTAAATAATCCTGAGTCAAAGAAGCAGCTTCAGGGAAACTACAAAATATTTTTAACTTAATTAAAATGAAAGTACAAGATATCAAATTTTGTGGGAAACAGCTAAACAACTGCTTAGAAAAAAAAATGTATGGCTTTAAATATTTCCATTAGAAGTTCTCAAGTCAGTAATTTGTTTTCAATAATTCAAGTTTGTTTCAATGAAACAGAAAAGTACGACGTAAATGAAACCCAAGAACTGCTTCATTGACAAAAACCTAGAAAAATGATAAAACTCTAGCCAGACTAAGAAAAAAGACAAATTTCCAGGATCAGGAATCAAAATCCTCAAATATTCATTAATAATGGAAAAAACAAATTGGGATATATCTATATAATGGAATACTATTCAGAAATAAAAAGTAATCAACAACTGATACATGCAATACATGAATGAGTGTAAAATATATTATGCTAATTAAGTAAAGCCAGACTCTAGAGGCTAGGTTACTATACACCTCATTTACATAACAATCTGGGAAAAAAAGCAAATCTATCAAACCCCTCTGGTCTAGAGGTAAAGGAAGGGGAATGTTTGAAAAGGTGTAAGGAAACTTTATGTATAGAAATGTTCTCTCTCACTGTGGTTGTGGTTACGCAACTGTTTTCTCTATCAAAACTCAAACAAAAAATGATCCATTACACTGTGTGTAAATTATATCTTAATCAATATCACCTTACACTCTTGCCCAGAGGCAAACCTTTTTAAAAACTAACAGACGAAAAAGTTAGTTACATCCTCACTGAACAAAACGGTCAGTCAATAAATGCAGAGTTAACAATGAAAAAGCATTTAAAAAGAACAGTCAACACTGTTATTAATAATAGTGATTATCTCCTATAAAATGGTATTAAGTGGCTACTACATCAGGTGATTAACTATATTATTTCCAATATTAACAACCACAGGAAACAGCACTGAAAACTCTTTTGTATGTACTGAATTAGTAAAACTAAAGAAAAGGCATGCAATCTGTATCTGACACAAAGCATTCTGACTTATGATAGAATCCCACAGACTTTTGCCATTAAGGACTACTCTTTTTATCAATATTACATATTTTCTTCTTTTTATTGTCAACCATGGAATATTGCAAAAATCCATATTGTTCTCTCTCTTAAATTCTAAATTCTATAAGGTAAAGGATGTCTTCTCAACACCTTAAAACTGTTTCTGCAGAGGGTGAGCATGGGTTCTAAAATATAGTGAACAGACATCACTTGTCCTTATCTTTAGAAATATTAATATATAAGCACAATATGAAAACATGATTAATGTGAAAATTATACAAAATGAACAGATTTATATTATGTTGACCAAGTAAACAGATCCACAGATATATTAGTATGTATCCAGAAGAGCATTAATTATTAATATACTAATTATTAATACACTAATGTATCCACTGATCACGAACATGGGGAGGTTCCCCAAGAAATGGAAATTATTCCAACAGTTTCTCCAACAGTTGCTCTAGTTTCTCAAGCAAGATTAGTAAGAAAATTTCTAGGTTATAGGACACTAGACATTTCTTCAGGCATGATATTATAGGACACTTCCTTGGGGAAACAGGCCCATAAGAAAAAGCAACCTGTATTTGAAAAATCCCTCTATCTGTAAGATCCACATGTACCAACAAGACTAAAGGACAGAATACCTAAATGGTATTCTTGTCTCCTATTTAAATATTAATAGAAAACTAAGGAATATTTCCAATAGGAAAGACAAAGCTCAAGACAATGTGAGCAAAAGAGTTCTGAGGGCAATGCAGAGGGCAAATGAAAATATTTTGAGGGTAATTTATACCTTTTCAGGGAACAATGACAAGCTACAGAACAATCAGAGAGCAAGGTAAGTGCTCTTAAAAGATAAAAATATGATGGTCAAAATTTAAAACTCAATTGAAAGGATAAAAGAGCGAATAAATCTGCTGTGAAAAAGAACAAAAAGATACAGAGGTGGCAACAAGAACAAAAATAAATTTTTTAGCTGAATTCAAGAGGTCCCATATAGCAGAGGTTCTAAAAAGATATAACAAACAGAAAGGAGAAATAACAGAAATATTATTTCCAAGAAATGAAGAGTCTCTAGACTGAAAAATTGCACAAAATAACTAGCACACTGAATTTGGGGATGGGGGGGGAGGGATACCCCACACCAAGGCAATAACCATTTCAGAACATTGGTTATTATCTAACATAGAGTACCACCACTCCAAAACACAATCATCTACCTAGACTAAGAACCAGAAGGGTATCAGTCTTCTCAAAAGCAATTCTAGAAGCTAAAAGATTAAATGTTTTCAATCTTGAGTAGAAAAATTATTTCCAACTTAGAAGTCCATATCCAGGGCCTCCCCAGTGGCGCAGCGGGTTGAGCACCACGCCGTGAAGCTGTCCACAGCATCTGCACCGCAGGTTCGATTCCTGGCCTGCCAGGGAAATACCTACATGGAGCGGCAGACCTCTGCTGCCTCTCCAGCTGCTCCCCTCAGCAGTGTCTTCGGTCCTTCTGCCTGTTCTGCTCCCTGCTCTGTCTCTGGTGAATTCTCTCACCCTTCCACACCTCTGACCTGTACCCCAGTTCTTGTATAAATAAATAAAAAAATATTAAAAAAAAATTCCATATCCGTCAAACCATGAAGTGCAAAGACAAATATCTGCAGATACTAAAGATCTTTTTAAAAAATGTGTGTGTGTGTGTGTGTGTGTGTGTCCCATGTGCCATCTCTAAAAAAAATTACTGGAGGTTCTGCTCCACAAAACATGACCTAGAGAGTAGAATATCCAAAACCAGGGGACAAGGAAAGGAATTCCCACAGTTGTTCCAAGGCAATAGCTACGCCACAGATCTAGGGATCAATGAAAATGTTTAGAATAGAAGGTTTAGAATAGAAGGACAGATAACTCCAGAAGGGACATCTCCAAGATAAAAGTAAACCTACAAAATACTTGATGCATTTAAAAATATTTGAAAGAAATTTTCTGTCATTTAAAGCTTGGGGATGAATAGGTATTTAGAAAACAAATAGGTATTTAGAAAACAATAGGTATTTAGAAAACAAAACAATTTTAACTTCAAGGAGCGTAAGACATTATAGGAAAGAAAATGTAATTGAACTATATATACCACAAGGTCCTTGCAGAAAACAACTCTTATTAGAGTCTTAATAATTTCATCAATAATGATTTAACCAGAAGAATGCTAACTATATAATTGGGGAAATGGCCATATGAAAGAGTATCAGTACATTATTCAGGAAATATGTAGGTAAACACCAGAAAAAAAACATTAAGAATGGAAAATGGGGGCCTCCCCGGTGGCGCAGCGGTTGAGCGCTGGGTTGCGAAGCTGCCTGCAGCCTCTGCGGGGCAAGTTCGATCCCCGGCTGCTCCCCAGCCACTCAAGGAGGGTCCCGCATGGCACGCAGACCTCTCCTGCCGCCCGCTGCTCCCCTCAGCAGTGTACTTCAGTCCTTCTGCCTGCTCTGCTCCCCGCTCTGGCTCTGGTGAATTCTCTCACCCTCCCGCGCTTCTGACTGTACCCAGTGCTTGTATAAATAAATGAATAAATAAATCTTAAAAAAAAAAAAAAAAAAAAAAAGAATGGAAAATGGTTGTCTCCAGAGGGTAAGGAATTGGGAGTGGGGAGAGATGTGGCAAGGGAATATTTTATTTGATTATAACTGCATTGCTAGTTGACATTCTGAATTATGTATGTGTACTTTGATAAAAATAAATTTTAAAAATACAGTATTAAGATAAACATGCTATTTTCTTTTCAAGTAGTTTAGATTTGTAAGTAGCTAACTTTTTAACTTCCTTCCCTTCTATTGTTCAATTATCTGTCATCTGAAGCCACCCTTACCTCCTTCCCATTCTGAAAGTGTCTTTAGTTGTTGCTTAGATTTGCAGACTCTACCAAGTGCTATAGCCCATTGGCTCTCACATTTTCCATAACCTTGCTCCATCTACTTCCACCTTCTCTTGAACATGAAATCTATTATTACCCTGTGAGTCTTTCCCCAAACCTGTAAAATATGATTAAGTTGTTCTCATCCTACAAATAAACAAATGAAACTTAGTTCATTCTTCATCCTGTTTTGCCACTTTCTTTCCTTTCAATGGCATAAGAGTATATAATTTATAATCCACAGAAGTTATACTCATTACCTCTACTGCTTACCCACCATTTTGATTCTATTTGTGCCTCAACATGCTACATAAACTACTGTTTCAGAAATAAAAGGCCAAATTGGAAAGCCTGTTGTGCACGGTCAGTCTACTGTTCTCTTAATAAAATTACAAAGTCTTCACCATCTTGTTTAAATGCAATCTTACTTTTGGCTTTCTCAACACTATTTTACCATATCTCCTCCTACAACATCCTCAAGCCTCTTCAATGGCTTTTCCTTTACCCTTAAAATGTTTGTTTTCTCTTAGAATTTTAGCCACAGCATTTGCCCCATCACCTTACCATCACCTTACTAAAAGTCATGTCCTTTATTTAAGACGAAGTCGGGTAAAAGGAGGGAAGGCAAAACACAAAACTTAACCATCATTGTATCTACCATTACCTACATAACTAAGCTTAACTCAGTTTCTAAGAGAAACCACACTGCTACAGAGATGGCAGGTACTACTGAAGGTTCCCACCTTTTAAAATTATCTATCAGGGGATGGGTACCTGGATTACCTTACAGAAGTCAAGAGAAAGAAGTTCTGGGTTAGCGAGTGATTAGCTCTAACCCCAAGGGTATAAAGCAACTGGGTAGAATAGAGATCTGGTAGAATAGGCAAGACCCTCTACAAATCCTAAGTCCATCAACTCAGAGACTTTTAAATACTGGATCCCTGATCAGTTACAGCTCCAGATCATCTGATGGACACCTAGAAGTTGGCATCCAGATCTAAACAGACCCTGGCATCTGAGTCACCTACGGTTAACTATATACAGCAACACCTGTCTCTTTACTAGTAAAAATATCTCTATCTCACTGAGGCTGCAAACTGGCAGTAATCGCCCTTTAATCAAAAAAGGGAGTCTAGTTATTTAAAAAGACAATTTTCCCCTTTCTCTCCCTACAGATTTAGTCTGGAAAATAAAAAACAACAACAGCAAATGGTCTAGTTTGTGCTATATAGATTTGAAATCTGAGAACAGTTTGTCCCACACTGCATGAAAGTGCAAGAACACATTCTTGGAAAGAAATTATCACTCACTTCAGCATGAGGTAGTAACAGGCAGTATCCCTGTTGAGAGTACTGCACTAGAGGAATAAGAGTTATTTTTATCTTGGGTATTCATCTGGGAGAGGGACTATTGAACATTAATTTTAAACCATGAATACTCTAGGGAATGACTGATCAGAGACAAGGGAGCTTAGGGAAACAAGAAGGAAGAGCTGGCACATTAAGAGACTGAAATCCAGGAAGGTAGAGCCCTTCTAGAGATTAAAAAGAGCATCTTCCTCCACACACTGTCCACACTGTCAATACTTAATTTAACTTGGCTCTCAAGTCACTGCTCTGAGTCACACTGAGAAGGTAGCCAGATTCTGTTATCAGATTGGAGTCATGCAAGCTCCAGAAGCTTTTGTGCTTATTACATACCTTAAAGAGTTGTTTCAAAAACTAAGCACATGTAATTTGGTATACTATGTACTTCCCAGGTCTATCTGATACATCAACATCATGAAGTTAACTCCATGGTATAATGCAAGCGACATGAAATATCAACAGATGAAAAGCAACTCCACCACTTGTTACTTAACCTCTCCGGAAGAGTTACCCTAAGGGTTAAAATGAGAAATTGTGAGTAAATCACCCACCGTATTATTGATAATAGGAGCACAATAAGGAACAGCTACGATTTGAGAGGGATGGGGTTTCAGTTCTTGTAACAAAGTTTTAAAAAAAACACTTTGTGTTTTCAGGAGGTTTAAAGCAGCATTCCTGTCCTAACTGGAAAACATTATTGATCATTTTTCAGGACAATTTTCTACCCAAAATGTATCCATTGTCTAAAGTCTTTGATAAAATAAATAGTAAGAAAGATTCCTATACTCCCTGCATTCCTGAAAACCTTGAAGTCACTTCATCTGCCTGACTTGGCTAGGAAGTACTGTACTGGCCAAGCAAGTTATTCCCAGTCATTCCACCTTGAAGATTCTAACAGAAATCTCCCAAACAGGGAAGACAAAGCTCTATGTTGGCAGTATTAACACATTACTAAAAAACACCCATTTCTTTTTTTAACCAGATTCTGACAAAAAGGCAATCAGATGTAAATTTTATCTCCTTCCACTTCCACAATTTGAATTTCTCTTTTAAATTACTCCTCGTGAACGACTCCAGTGGAACCCGACAGGTCCACTCAGGACCTTTCCCAATTAAGCTGCCAGGCATAGAGAAAAACAATTTCTTGCTCCCTAAAATAAGACAAACCTTGGGTTTTTTAGAAATCAAACACATGGCTTTACATCCTAAACACAAAACCAAAGTATCAGAGGAACCCCCAGAGAGTTAGTCAACGCCCACATCCTTCCAAAGCCGCCTCGCTTCACTTAACTCTCCCTTCTCGCTGCCCATTTATCAAGCCTTAGGCACCACGAGCCAGCTCCTCTCCTCACGTCACTTCAGGGATCCAAATCTGTTACGCGAATGCACCTGCAACTGTTCTGTGAAAGAAAGACTTAGCAGCAGACCCGAGCTCTCCAACCATTAACCAGGCCCCTAACACAGAGTGGCAAACCGCTCCCGGCCTCACCCCGCCCCCCGGGGTGAGCAGTAACCCGCGAGCGGCCAGAACCCCAGGTTTATCATTAACCCGCGCCAAGCCCCGGCGCCGGCCACGGCTGCGCCCCCGCAGCGCGCACCGGAGGGCCGCGCGCTGAGGGACGGACGCGGCCGGCGGCGGGCAGGCGCGGGGGCGCGGGGCGGGCGCGGGGCAAGCCCGGGGCCGGCGGGGAGCCGCGCCCCTGGGCCCCGCCCCCAGGCCCGCCCCTGGCCGCCAGGGCTCCCCAGCAGCGCCGCAATCCCCGCGCGGCCGCCGCGCGCTGGGCCCCCTTCCAGCCGCCCTCCGCGCGCGGCGCGCCCGCCCGCACGTACCTGCTTTGCACACCGGGGCGCTCGGGCTCCTCCTCTCCGGGGAGACGCGGCTCTGCTCCGGGGACCTCCTCCGGGGCCGGACGCGGGCTGGGGGTGGGGCCGCGCCCGCCTCGCCCGTCCACAGGTGGGTGGGCGATGAGCAGGGCGAGGACACGGTGCCCAGCAGCGGCGGCGGGGGCTGCGGCCGTGGGGGGCTCCCGCGAGCCCCGGGCGCGGCAGCGCGCGTGGGGCTGGTGCCTCGCGTGGCCGTCCCGGACGCGCCCGTCTGCGTGGCCACCGTGGGGCTGGTGCGCGCGGCCGCGCTCCCCGCGCCGCGCGTGGGGCTCGTGCTGCGCGAGGCGGTGCGGGGGCCCCCGCCGCCGCCGGAGGGGCCTGAGGCGCCGCCACAGCAGCCGCCGTTGTTGTTGCCGCCGCCGCCGCCGCCGCTCCGCGTGGGGCTGCCATGTTGCTGCTGCTGCTTCAGCTGGAACGGAACCGTCGCCCTCATGGGCTGCAGGCGGCTCCCGGCTCCCCCGGCCGTGGCGACCGCGCCGCCCCCGAGGGCGCCGGCCGGCGTGGGGGACCCATTGCGCCTCACCCGCTGGGACATGGTCCCCCCTCCCCGGTGACTGGGCGAGACGGGGGAGGGGGTTTGTTGTTGTTGGGTTGCAGGGGGCGGATTCCCGAGCCCGGAGGGAAGGCCCCGCGACGGGGTGACGAAGCGGGAATCCGGGGTGCGAGGGGCGCGCGGGCCGCGGCCGGCAGCAATGAGGTGGTGCAGCCGTCGCCGCCGCGGCTCCTCCTCATCAACAATAGTGTCTCCTCCGCTGGCCCCGCCCCCCGCGGGCGCCCATTGGTGCCGCGTCAGCCGCGCTCGAGCCGCTCCACCGCGCCCATTGGCTGCGCGCGGCTCGGGGCCCGGACCCCCGGGGCCTTAGAGAGCCCGGGTTTGCGCGGAGACCGTCTGCTCTTTAAAGAGAAAGGGCCCCGCCCCCGGGGGGCGGAGGGGACGGGCCGTGTGTGTGTAGTGTGCGCGCGCGCGTGTGTGTGTACACGTGAGGGCGTGTACGCGCGCCCGGCCACGCGCGACCTTCCCTTCCCGCTGGGGGGAGCCCTGGGGACGCGGGCTCTGGAACGTTACCGGGGGGCTGTGCCCAGCCAGAGCCATCCCCTGGGGCGCCTGAAGTCTTCGCCCAGTCACTCCTTTCCTTACCCCGGGGTTCACAGGCGGAGAGCGTGTACTCAGTCCTTCTGACATTTTTTTTTTTTTAAATCTTTTTGTTCTGTCCCAATTCCATGAACGTTTGGCCAGCGTTCAAAAAAGAGAAGAAATTTAATATTCCTGGGATTTTACACCTCTTTGTTTTTGTTTTTCAAGAGCTACAAAAACAAGATCTCAGAAGGGTTAAAATTGTTGGTAAGGATGCAGTTTCAGATTCTGCAGCGTCCGATTACCAAAGACTGTTGCTACTTTCTTGTATTTCTAGTAATCAAGAATTTATTTTAGGGCCTCCCTGGTGGCGCAAGGGGTTAAGCACAGCACTAGGAAGCAATGCGCAGCCACTGAAGCTGGAGTTGGAGCCCCACAGGCCAGGGAGCCACCCACATGGCGCAGCAGACCTCTCCTGTCTCCTCTGCTGCTCCCCTCAGCAGTGTATCTCAGTCAGTCTGCCTGTTCTGTTCCCCACTCTGTCTCTGGTGAATCCTCTCTCTCTCTCTCTCTCTCTCTCTCTCTCTCTCTCTCTCTCTCTCTCTCTCTCTCTCTCTCTCTCTCTCATGCATCTCTGGCCTGTACCCCAGCTCTTGTATAAATAAATAAATCTTTTAAAAAAGAATTTATTTTAATCAACTACTTCACAGTTCTTTGATACCTTGGAAAGGTATCTGCTACCTGACAGTTTGAAAAGTTTTACAGTTTATAAAGAGCCCTGTTTGATCCTCACAATCATTGTTGGAGACAGGACAGGGCAAGCCATTTTTATCCAGTGGGAAAAACAGGTCTTTAGTATTGTGAAGAACTCAGACAGGCAAATAACAATAGGGGTTTCTCATCAAGACCCAGAAAAATTGTGGACCCATAACCTACATACTCACCTGTCAGGCTATAAAGTGCATGTCCCTGATCTCTTTTCCCTTTACTACCACCTTATATCATTAGATGTACATTCTATACAGATTTTGTCATGTAAAAATGGAGAGCACAGTTTGATTCACTCTGGAACTGAACTCCTTATGGGTTCCTGTGCACTGTGGATAAAGCCTTTGAAACCTAGAGACGCAGATCTCAGATCCACCACTTAATCTTCGAACTTGGGTAGGTCACTAACTGGTTTATCTGTAAAATGCCGTTAAACAATACCATCTCTTTCATACAATTGTGATTATTAACCAAGGCTTAAATGACAATGTGGTGTGTGAAGTTGCTCAACATTCCAAAGTCTCCATTTGGTTCAGAAAACATCTCTGCCCGTATCCCCCACCACAAAGAGAGGCCTCAAGTCTTTAGCCCAAGAACCCACCTTAAGTTGGCTAGTATGGTCTTAAAATTATGGGTAACCTTTAAATATGAATGTCACAATGATTTATCTGCCACAAAGTATGAACTCAAAACATAATTACTGAATTAAACAGAGGGAATTCAGAAACCCTAGTGTCCTAGACTTTGTAATCGATTAAGTTTAATGTCACCAAACTACAGACATGTTGGTGGTATGCAACTTCTGCTTTTCTGAGCTAAGGTATTGATTTCAGCATAGAAGCTCTTTAGATCAATGAGTTAAAATGTCCTTGCCTAAATCATGAGTTCACCTTTTACTTCTAGTCATGTTTTCTGTAGAATGAAATCATTGAGTCAAAAATTATTGCTCCACAATGTTTATTGCAGCATTGTTTATATTAGCTAGGACTTAGAAGCAACCCTGATGCCCAGTGGCAGAGGACTGGATAAAGAAGATGTGCTATATCCACATGGTGGAATACTATTCAGCCACAGGGAAAGATGAAATGTCACCATTCACAGCAAAGTGGAAGGAGTACAAGGGAATTGTAAAGCAAGTCAGAAAAAATCTCATATAGATGACTAAGGAATGATAACAAGGAATTGGCTAGGCAAAATCATTATAAACTAATGGACATTCATAAAGTGAAATTTCTGTGGTTATGAGAGAAGGGAGCGGGGAAAGGGTCAAAGCGTTATAAGGAATGATGGTAAGTAGGAAAAAAACGTACTTAATCGCCTCACTCTGCTCCCTGAAGCTTTTCATTTCTCTTAAGATGAAACTCCAACCCTTAGATTGACCACACATCCCATAGGCCCATCTCTTTCTCTCTAGCCTCCAGCCATACTGGTCTTTGATTTTCCCCCAAATATCCCATCCCCTCATCCTAAGGCCTTCACACTTATTTCCTCTGCCTGGAACACTCCTCACGCTCATTAGTTAGCCAGGCCCTGATGAATTCTTAATCAGTGAGACATGACTTGTCTTGCTCCTTCCTTAAATCAACTTCCTCGGGCTTGTAATACCATACTGTCCATTGTAGTCATCATAACATGATTTTTTAAAAAATATGTATTTATGCATACAAGAGCTGGGGTACAAGCCATAGATAAGGGGGGATAAGAGGATTCACCAGAGACAGAGTGGAGAACAGAACAGGCAGACTGATTGAAATACACTGCTGAGGGGAGCAGCGGGCGAGACAGGAGAGGTCTGCTGTGCCATGTG